CCACAGCTGTCAATCAAAAGTGGCTCCGATAAGCAGGAAAGAATCCGATAACACCTTATCAAGTGGATCATCTCCCTGGCCACGTGGAGAGACTCTCTAAGTATCTCTATATGCCTGGCCCTGGGCCCAGTCTTCACAGATGGTTAGGCACTCAGGGTCTGAAAGTCTTTAGAAAACAGTAAAAATCTTGGGGATCCTTATTCACCTGGTGTCTGGGTGAGTCAACAGAGGGCAACCAGGCCAAAGGACCAGAGAGTGACTAGAGAGACAAATACAAGGAGAGTCGAGCAGGGAGAGACACAGGGAAAACAATGACGTAGGAATCTAACCAGCATGGGAGGACAGCCTGAGGGATATGGACCCAACTCCACTGGCAAAAAGGAGCCATTGATGTCAAGGCTAATGAGCACACAGAAGCAAGAAAGGCTGTCTCACACGCACCTGTCCCGTGTGCACAGCCTCTGGCATTCCTCTGGGCCCCGTGGGAGAGACCCTGGCTGTCGATCTGTACTCCATGCTGCTGGCAGAAAACACGAGGCTGCGGACAGAGCTGGAGAAGAACCGCCAGCAGTCAGCCCCCATCATACTGCAGCAGCAGGCCTTACCGGTAAGAGCTGTCATACAGGCCTGGCTTGAGCCTGCCCGCCCTGGTCAGCAGGTAGCCCACAGTCATCCCCAGTGCGAACCAAGTTGAAGATTCAGCCCAGAATCTGGGCTTCACAGCACCCAACAGCACTGGAAATATTTGTAGTAGGGCCTTGCTCTTGTGTTCCTAAAATAACTATCTCACCATCCTCTACCATTCTGGGAGAGAGCAAGGCCCTGGCTGACCCTTGACCCCTGAACCCTGACTTCACCTGCCATCTAGACACCCTTCCACTATGGGGCCTCTCAGGACCTTCTGGGATTGGTACAGCCTTGGAGAGCCCTTTTCCCCATCCCAGGTGGATCCCAGAGAGTTGGGAGCAGGTGGAGACTTGGCAGAGAGCCTACAAGACACAAATGGCCCAGGCCACTCCAAGTACACAGAGACCCTGCCAGCACAGGTGGGTGTCCCGGGAGGCTACCCCACTGCCCAGGCTGCTCCAGGTGCCCCCGCGGTGTACAAACCCAAAGTCAATATTTGGAGTTATGGTGACATGAGGACGCAGGTGAGTGTGTCTCTTCATCCCAGGAAGTGAGTTCTGTTTGCAATGTCCCAGTGCGTGGGGAGCCAGACAAAGCATGAGAGATGGACGTCTTCTGTTCTGATGAGCCTTTACTTTACATAAATACCCCATTTAACCACATTCTGAGTATTAAAGGGAGCTCATTAACGCATTTTAGATATGTTAAAGCATTCGGTATGAGTTGGGGGTGTAGCTCAGTTGATAGAATGCTTGCCCAGCATAGACGGAGTCCTGTGTTCGATCCCCAACACTGCATAAACCTACACATGCCTGAAATCCGAACACTCAGAATAACGGGGGGCAGGAGGAACAGAAGTGAAGTCATTCTCACAATGTAGTGAGTTCAAGGCCAGCCAGGAATATATGTTATCCCACCTTAAAAAAAATGTTTTAACGTTAGACTCCCCAATTCTGAGTGGGAAGCAAAGTAGGGGATTAAGTGTACATGAAGCCCTATGACAACCTTAAGGAAGAGGTGTGGCTTGGGGGTGAGGCTCTGTATCTGCAGCTGAATTTGAAACCCACACCTGGCTCGCTTTTCTTGCTTCCAAGCCTTCTCCTGGCCTAAGCTCCCAGCCAGAGCCTTACAGTAGCTTGCACTCCCACAGGACTTCCTTGGTGGAACTTCAGACAAGTTTAACCTCCTGGCCAAGCTAGAACAAGCTCAGAGTCGGATCTTGTCCCTGGAAACCCAGGTAAGTGAGGTACTGGGGTTGATCAGGCTGGATCAGACTCACTCTTCAGTCTATGGCCAGGAGCAAGGCTTAGTATACAAGCAGAGTCAGGACTCAGTGTCTGACTGCAGAATTGGGCTCAGTATGTGAGAGTCAGCCTTAGTCTGTGACCAGAGTCAAGGCTCAGTGTGGATTCAGGTCAGATCGGACTCCATACAAACTGCAGAGAAGAACTAACTGTCTTAAGCTGTGTGTTTGGCACCTCACGTCTGCTATTGCCAGACTTTGCTTGCCTTTTCCCAGAGGATAGGCCCAAATTCTGTTTGTCTTAGCTCGGGGGAGGAGGGCCATACTGACTGCTGGCTTTCCAACGTCTTCTCTCCATGTCTGAAGCTGGAGGACTCAGCTCGACGCTGGGCACGAGAGAAGCAAAACCTGGCCATTCGGCGTCAGGAGCAACAACACGGCTTTGGACAGCCACCAAATTCCATCATCATAGACCAGCCTGTGAGTGACCCTGACGGAGGAGTTCCCGGGGATCAAGTGGTTGGCTAGAAGCCATCCCACCCCAAATCTTGGGGCCCTGAGAAAATCATGGGGGATAGATCCCAAGCTAAGTGCCAGAAGTCTTGAGCTGAGGTCCTACTGTCAGCAAACTGGATATTCAAAGTGCCCTTCATTCTTCCACCCATCTGAAGAGGCAGGAGTGTCTGCCCATGTATCCCCTTTTCCAATTGGTTGTCATAAACCTCTAGGAGGAGGTCACCGTGGGTGAGAAATAGCCTATACTATCATTTCTAGAATGTTCTTGTGCTCTCTCTCCTCTCTGTCTGTCTGTCTGTGTCTCTCTCTGTCTCTCTGTCTCTCTCTCTGTCTCTGTCTCTCTCTGTCTCTCTGTGTCTCTGTCTCTCTCTCTCTCTCTCTCTCTCTCTCTCTCTCTCTCTCTCTCTCT